TTTTCATCAGAACCACACATTTTGTCCGAAGTAATGCGTATCTTTTACTAAAGCCACTCATGTTATTCCAACACATTAAATGAGAAAGAATTAATAACTCCCAGATAAATTGCTTGACTAATTAGTTCCCAAACATGTCTTTTTCAGCTTTTACCAATGTCCTTTCATGCAGAATTAAAGTACAAACCTTTAAAACTTCTCAAGTAACACCTCAATAAAAAAGGCTTCTTAAATCTCTAAAATGAGATGCATTCCCCTAGAATCTGAATGGTTCTTACAGCTCTTTTCTAACCCCCTTACTACTTTCTAAGATTATTTCTGAAGACTAGACCTCCAACCTAGTCATAATATACCCACAACAGTCCATTAATATTGTATATAGCAGTAACATCACCTCCCCTACATCCCTCCAACAAGTTAGTTTATTCAAAAATACTGTCTCTAACCTGTAAGTGCAAGCTACGAGTCTCTAAACCTGGGATCACACATTTGGCTCTATCTGAATACTAGTTCTTCAAGTAAGTTCAACTTGCCAAGATATTTAACAGTTAGTGATCTCTTTCTATCATTAATATTAATATATGTTTAAAACTGCAACTTTTAGAGATTTATTAGGAGCAATACATTCTCCCCAAGAGCCAGCAAGACAAAGTTCAAGAACCACCTGCCACGTAGCCTTAAGGGAACCTTCCTTAGGGTTTGAAAGTTCCCTGTTTACCAACAATTTTTTGGATTCTTTAGACAATTTTAGTACAGTTAACATGAGTTACAACAAATACCTTTAGGAAAAATCAATCTGATAAAAGACAGTATCACTAGAATCAATAATTAACCTATGTCCTGACTGGATTTTTAGTACATACTGGCATGGCATCTAGTTTTTCTCATTCCCTTCAGACTTGGGATATTTCAACACTTGTTTAAGAACAAAAGAAATCGGGAAAAAAAAAAAAAAGGAAAAAAAGACTGACATGCAAAACCAATCAAATTAAGATTTTCCTGTGCTAACAGGTTCTGTCAATTTCTAAAGTGTTTAGTAGCCACTATTTAACATAATCCAAACACAGACACAATAAAGGAGTACTGAATTACCAGTGTAGTACGATTACACCATTTAAGGAAAAAAAAAAACAAAACAACCAAAGCCAAAACAAGTGAAGAATATTTCTGTATTGTAGAAGTAGCCTTGGTATTTATCCACATTTTTTTCTTCTCTCCATGACAACTACAATTTCTCCTAATAAATAACAAAAAGTGGGCAAGACTAACACCTCCAGTCTAGCATTTTATCTGAAATTACAACTCAGATACAATTTCATCAGAATTTGCTAGACCAATTCTCTGTATTTCATATTAAAAAAACAAAAAAAAAACCCTGTGACATATTCCCTCATCTATTTAACTGCAGGAACTTGTAAAGCAGGAAACATATTCCAGACAATATATACTTCTTGTCTGGCTATTTCCGCTGATCTTGTCAAAAGGTAGTTTTAGTTTAGTGTAGCAGTCTAATCTCAGACATTTAAAATGGTACAGACTATCAATGATATTTGAAATTTGATTTTTCAGGAACTATAAAAATACTACTAATTTATAATCAAATAATATGCACAAGGTCACCATCTCTAATTCTGCCAAATTTACAGTCAATGTTTTAGTTTTGGACTATTTAAGTTTAAAAATAGATACACTGAAGATCAAAAGTTACTTGGTCCATTGAAGAAAATATTTAAGAGAAATAAAACTCTTATTGTAATATGCAGAAAGAGATTCTGTGCTGATTCAAGGCATCTTTTACAGAAAGCTGTTCTCCCCATGCTCCACTCACAAAAGAGATAATTAAGAAAAAACAAACACAGCTAGAAACTAGACATTAAATAATAAAATGTAATAAGTTTATTAGAAACCCCTCTCCTCTAAGACGAGATCACGCACGCTCACGTTCCTTACTACATTTTATGAACTTCCAAAGACAGACATATGCTCTTCCCAGTCTATTGCAGTGCTTCACAAGCCACACTTAATTAATCTCCACTGGAAAAAACGTAAGCTTATTTCGTTTTGCAGTGTTCCAAAAGACCTAGAGCAGTAGCACTTACTCTCTGTATTAAATCATCCTCTATTTTTTTAAACCTCTCCTCACAGGTCTTGGATCCAGTGTTCTGACCATCATACTATTGTGTTCTGGACTCTCCAATCTGGCAAGGTAGTTTTGATTTGTTTGCATGTATTAAGTGCATGGCTCAAAACCGGACACAAGGAGCTAGTTGACCCAATTCTACTCTAAATTGAGCAGAGAGATTTACCGTGTTTTACGACTGTGCCTCCATTTATTTATCCTGGTATGATCTTACATTTTCAGAACTTTTTTTTGTGTGACACTGTTGACTTAAACCCTTAACCCACAATATTTTTACTCAGAACTCTCAGACATTCCTTATTCTGTATTCACCTATTTTATTTTTATTTAATTTAAAAGCACTATTTTAAGCTTGCCCTTAATGGTTTATATCTTATTTTTCCCAGATCATTCTAATTTGTTGGTTCATATTAAATTCTAATCCACTCCTCCAACTTCTATGCAGTCTCTCAGACTGGTATCATTTTTCACTGCAGTAAACATGCAAGTCAATGGATACATTAGCAACCTCTTTTCTTGAGAAGGAAAAAGACATGAAAGACTCGCTTGTGCTGCTGCATCAGAACTGACTTATATAAAATGCATTTTTAATAAAGAATATATTTCAGAGAGCCAGACGAGCAATAAGCCATCTTTCAACAAGAATCCAAGCTAAATGACTACCAGAATAATACAGTGAATTGAAGCCAAATGTTAGAATAAGAAAAAGACTTTGCTGATTCTCAAACAAGGGGGAAAGTACTAAGCAAGATAGATAGTAGATACTCCAGAAACAAGAGGGATGGTCCAGCTCTGATGCTTGTAAAATGGGCAGGGCTAGATTAGCAACGTACCTTTCTGAAAAAATATTTTCCTTTTCCATCAGGAATCATATGTTGATCTATTTAGATATGTAGAAATAAAGAATACCTATCCAAGATTTTGGGTGCCCCTACAATAAACCAATGCAGAGATTATCTTCAAAAGCCTATCACAGATAAATCCTACTTACATACGTGCAAGAAAGGATAAGAGTGCTGTAGAATGTAATAAAAAATGCCCAGTTGGTCTTTTTTAATAAACTACAAAACTGCAGTTCATAGATGGAAAATTACTTTACAAAACTGTAAACTAAAATACAAAGTGCTGCACTATGTAACATCATGTACAAGAGACCAGCCAATTCTGATAAGAAGTGAGGTTTAGACAAGTCATGCAAGTTCTTTATAGGTACTCTTCACTCATTTCCCAGGCCCTGGAGCACACGTATTTTGTATGGGGTTGGGTGGGGGGGAAGACTATTACGGATTTTCTAGTTATGTGGTAAGATTTTTTCCCTCTGAATCAGTGTTTCTATTCAGTATCGACAGGTCACTCCTACTAACAGCAAGGGCTGGGAAGAACCTGGCAAGATTAGCCAGTTCTAGTCTAAAGCTCTCACAGAAGCTGCTTCTGTTCTTCTCCAAAGTGAAATGGTCTATTTCCAGTCTAGTAACTTTACCATAACCTTACCACAAACTGTTGGACAGATCCACTGGCTGGCTGCTGCCTATAGGGCCAGGTTATGCTCCCACACTCTCTGCTCCTGCCTGCAGTCTCACTTCTTCCTTTGCACCACTTCAACACTTTCTGAACACTTATCTGAGTTGATCCAACCCACAAACCAAGAAACAAAACTAGTCACCTTTTTGTTGGGTGCAGGAGTCAGATATAGAAGAGAGCAGAGTTTGGGAAACAGAAACAATCCCCTCCAGTAAGCAGTTACAACAGCTAATCTAGTTTCCAGAAACCTAAATGGAAACTGGATGCGTGGAAAGCTACGACCATATTCTTTGTTCGGTCTTGGCCATGAGATCCTCACTTTAAATCTCACATTTTCTTTTTTAAACCATTCATTAAATTATTAAACTATGTCATTCAATAGTTATAACTGCATAAATAAATAATTGAGAGTACTTTGTACATCTTCAGCTTGACAATCATGACTGAAGTTGGGTGAACAGTAAAAGCATCTCATCTGCAACAAATCTGCTTGAGCTGTTAGTCTAAGCTTATCCTTACCATAATTAACAATACTGATCATAACAGTCTTTTCTACAGTTGCATCAAAAAAGAATAACACCATAACATACTTGGTTTCCAAGTTTACACCTGAATTCACATTTCAGTGAACCTCACCTCATTCTTTAATCAACTCCTCAAAAAGAAGGGAGTTACTATTCTTCTAAGATTTATCTTTTATGATACATTCCTTTGTTTAAATGAGTATTACGGTATCTGCATAAACCTTCGAAAACATAAGAATATGTAGCATTAAGTTTTTAATACTCGTTACCATTTGAGAAGATCTAGTACAGGATCTAGGGTATCTCAGAGCACACAATAGTTTCCAGGCACAACAGCTTAGTTACTTATAACTCTCAGAGAAGCTTCATGGAACAGGGCCTGTGGCCCAACTTCCACACAAGTACTGCTTATCTCTGAGAAATACATGTAATATCTGGAATACAGATGAAAGGGTCCAAAAATACTGCCAAAGAATAAGGGGTTTGTACACAGGACAGAGAATATATAATGAATCCATCAAATAATTTCTTTTTTTAGATGTGAGAGGCAAAGAAGAGAAGGGAGAGAAATGAGTGTAAGGAGAAAAGGAAGGTGAAACGGATGTATGACTGACCAAATTTCGTCAGTAATCTGACATGAAAGTAGAGACCTGACCTCTCTTTTGCAAAATTTGCTTTTTCCAGCTGACAAGGATTTATCAACAGGACAGTTTTCAGTTGCTGTTTAAGTAGCACACGTCTTCATCTAGCTTCTTTACATCTAGCTTTTGTCCCAGCAGAGGTGACATCATAGAGGAAGCGAAGTACGTACTTACCAGCAATACTTATTGTTCGCATTAATACTTTGGGGGACTCTTCTTCCTCACTTTCATTTTGAAGCCTAGGTAATTCTCTGAAAGTAGGAGAAGAAAAGAAGATTGTTAGTTTTTATCCTTTTTTACCTTCATCCTTGTTTTCATCCTTTAACTATTATATGCAGCATTCAAGAGATGAATGCAAACGCTCTTAAAAATATCATACGATTTGTGATTAGATGACTTGTAGCAAAACTCTTATGAAAGCAGACATTTATACGTATGAACAACCTCTGTTTACTGAGGTCCAAAAAATAGAAACTGTCTGCTTCATTGCTGAAAAAAACAAAGGTTAAGTATAGACCCTTAAGGCATCTGTGAAAACAAATTAAGAAAGCAGGGGGAAAAAAACCCAGTGGATTCATTCTTGGGAAATATATAGCCAGGCTTTAGGAAAAAAAAAGCTGAGAAAAATTATAGGATCAAGACCTTAAAACCAGATGCCAAAAATTAAAATAGTGAACTCCTCAAACTGAAATAGTTATCACATGGAAAAGAATAAGCTCTACCTTTAAAACAGATGTAAGCAAATAAAGTTGGTTTGTACCACTTATTTATTTTTGTTTGTACATAACATATATAACAGACCACATACAGTAGATTGTTTTAAAAATCTTTTGGGTTATCAAGGCATGGGGGTTACTACATCATTTTGTAACAGTGGTCTCACTAATTCAGAATGGCTATATACTACTAGGCGTTGATTCTTAGCAATTTAGCAGAAAAGCAAAAGCTGCACATATCAGACTCTGGAACAGCAATAAATTGGATGTTGTAAAAGCTAATTTGTGAACCTGACTTCAAGGAAAGGGATATAACTGGGAAACAAAAATAGGAAAAGAATTAAAGCAACAATAGTACCAGGAGTAGGAGTGAAGAGAAAATGATAAATGCTCCAGGATAATTGTATTGTAGAGCAATGAGAATTTTGCCAAATTATTCTTATTCTTGAACACAAATTAAGTGATTTTATATTTCAAAGAGAAACTTCAGTAGCATGACTGTTAAATGAGCAAGGTGAACTGGCAACTCTAAAAATCTCAAAAGCAGCAACAGCGATAAAATTTTAAAAAGAGACTGAATTCTGTATTTTCTTTTTTATGTAATAAATTATGAACAATCAGAACCTACAAGGTCAGAGCCCATGAACTTCCAAAAATAGAACGCCTGGGGGAAAAAGTGAGATAGCTTATTTTCATTTCCATTTGAGATTGATACTTTGGGTATACTTCAGCTAAGGTGGCACTTAATAAAAAGGATATAGCTTTTCCTGTGATAAAGGATCTCAGAAATCCAAACAAAAATTACAACACTGTTATCCCTAGTATAAAAAGTAATGTCAGGGTTTTAGCTTTCCAGAAAAACTAAACTAGTTCTTTTATGGTACTCTTCATCAAATCAGTTACACTATTTATTTCACAACAATGGAGAGGTGAAATTAGCAGCTGAAGGTGAGTCAGGAAGCCAAGCAAAACTGAATATGGAGGCCACCCGTTCCAAGTGCTAGCTCTACAGCAAACCCATTAGAGCACAGTCTAGAATGAACGTTACTTTTCATTTTATATGAAGCTTATGCTGTATCTTCTTACAAGTCCATATTTGCAACCCTCAAGCAGATAAAGGCAGCATATTATGTGAACTGTATGTATGGAAGAAATAGATTTAGACAGATTAGCTCATAGTAAATGTGAAGCGGAAATGTTTACATTTCATGTAATGAAGAGAATCATTGCTAAATTTATAAGTTGATTTATCTGTAAGCAACAGAATTACAGGCAGTACCAAACAGCCAGACTCCTACCAGTCTGGGCAATTCAGCATGCCCTCCAAAAAGCTCCCCAAAATTTTTAACTGTGATATTCTAAAATATACAAAAGCACACAGAAAAATAAAAAGAAAGCATGAATATTTGGGTCGTCTTTTCCATACAAACATACCATCGGAGTGAAGTAGCTACTTAACAGTTGTTGACAAAGTAGAGGGTAAAAAAAACAAAGTTCCAAGGTAGTTTGTACCTCTGCTCCAGGAAGATTTGTCCACAACATGACTAACTTAAAAAAAAATAATACATCACAACACAATGAAATATATTCAGGTGGTTTAACATAAAACAGTCCAGCCTAGCGTGGTCAAATCATTTGTAGCTCAATTTAACAGATTCTACCTGTATGACAACAAAATTCTAATCTGAATTCCAAACATTATTTTGCCACCAACTGTGCACTGGTTCTAGAATATTTTCTTGCAGACCATAGTCTGCTCAGAGTAACACACGAAGTAGTAACAAATGCTTTACTGAAATCTAAGATGCAGGAGACCAGCAATTGTTTTTTCCATCCCTAAATCTATTACTAAGAGAAAAGAAATAAAGCCCTTCATTTTAAGATCATCACAACTAATGCAAAGTGACTGTCTATTCCAGCACCTTTTCATGCAACTGTGGAAAAAAACAGTCCGCCCACTCCAGGTCATTCAAACTTTAAAACTACCAAAAAGCTTACCATTTTCCAGTCTAATATTGCACTTGTTGGTCAATCACCTCAACAGCACTAATATTACTAGATGAATTAGACAGATAAGTCTGCCCCTCTAGCAGGGACCTTTTTGGAGATAAAAGTTACCTTGAAGATTAATTTTAGTTATATGCCCAATTCTGACTTTGAATTGCTGGTTGAACATGGACCAGTGACTACCTTTTCTTTTAAGAAAAATTAATCTATTTATAAAAAAATATATCCTTATAAATGGTTTGAGACCACCTGGAGTGTTTAATCCAGTCTCCTGCATGACAAGAACCTATTCAAAACGAGATCCAAAACATTTAATCAGTATTTTTCATGCATTTTAAGTTGAATCCTGAAAAGATGCAAAACTTGAATGCACAACAGCAAGAGAATTCAAGGATGCCAGCCACACTCTAAGTGCCTGCAACTACAAAAGCATTAGATGAAAATAACCTACATTACCTCAGGAATACAGAGTGTTGGCCAGGGGGAAGAAAAAAAGAAACACTTTGCCCCAGGCAGATGGAGAAGGAAGGGGGGAACTGATTTAACTTTTAACACGGACACTAGACCTGTATGCCAGGCCCAAGCTACTTTTTCCCCAACACTACAGGAACAACCAGACACCTCACTCAAAATCCCACCTTTAGTCAACAGCAAATTGCCTCTGCTTCAGAAGAAGATAAATTATGCACTGAGAAAAATTTAAAAAATACGTGTTCTCTTCTGATCTCTACAGGATAACGGTGGTAGCCCTGAAGAACAGAATTTGTAAAATTGAAAACTTCATGACAAATAACCAAATATTTTCTTGGCTGCTTTATCCTCTTTCTCAGAGATTGCTGTTATTCCAGTACCAAGAAATTTCATATGCTCATTTTTAATTTCTGAGTCCAGGATCAACTTTATCATCTTACACAGTCTTTTCACATAACTGTATAAAACATCATCTTGAACCACTGACTTTCGATCTCCCCATTACTGATTTTATATGACCAGATCTCACCCTCTGATCTTCAAACAAGTTCTCTTATTAAATTTATCCCTCAAATGTATTTATTTTCACTTGTTTCTCTCCCATATACACCCTCACACCCAATAAAGACTATTGTTATTTCTTCCTAGGCTTTACTTGCCAAATTCTTTTATTCTCCTTTAAGACAGCAAGTTCAACTTCAGCATAATCACACTAACAGTTCTTTCTTTTCTAAATGACTCTATCTTTTCTGAGTGTGACTGATCAGAGCTATATGCTGTCCTAAATGCAAATCAACCAATGCTTTATTGGCTGGTCCTAACACTCTCCTGTAAAAGCTCGAAACCAGTCACTGTGTCTTGGAATCATGTTACTCTCACAAAGCCATACCATCTGAGAAGGAAACAGATCAGGATCTGGGATGACCCAGATCAACAACAACAATCTACCTTTGATTACCAGTTTAGTTATACCAGGAGTTCTTGTCAGTGCTCAAGTATGTGAATGGCAATTTTTTTTTTTAATTAAAATAATATTCTATTACTCCAAACACCTAATTCATCCTCTACTATTAAGTGTAATAGTCTTGCGTTCTCTATTAGCAATCTCAAAAGCACACAGACCAGCTTTTTAGCGAAATCACTTGTTTATTTCAGTGATGGCTCTACAGTTTCAAGTAGCTGGCAGAGAACTGACTGAACCCATGTTAGGCAAAATATACAAGAAAAGAATTTAAACAACAAAATCATTTCAAACAAACAAAATAAGCTAAAATGTTACACTGAACTTTTTTATGTTTGGTAAAGAAAAACAAATTTAAAATTATTCCTTCTGTAAGCCAAGTGAAGCTCAGAACATGTGTTTTCCAGTTTTAAAACAAGATAGACTGTGGTTTTCTAATGGAGGAAGACTCATTTAGCTGAAAACCTGATCTTCATTTCTCTTATACCCTTCAATCCATCTGTCTGGTATCATTGTTGGTTGCTGATACTAAGCAAATTTCCTGGAACAAATATGGAAACAAAGAACTTCCCAAGGGAACAGAGGGAAAGATAATATTTTATATACATATGTATATTAAAAATAAATATTATCTAGATATATTTTACATAGATATATATTTTTAGATTTTTTTGTTGTTGTTGTTGTTGTTGTTTAAGATTCCTTACTGCTAAGAGCTAAAGAAAAGCTGGAATATACTCAAATCCATAATAAGCAAGGATCAAAGCCAAATCAAACTTCTTCATACAGAAGAAAGGCTGTCAAAAATTAGCTGTTCTGCAGTGAAGTGCACAGGATTCTACCTGTGCTTCGATTTTGTAGAGAAGGTTCCCCTTCAAACAAGCTTTTGACTACCACAGATTTGAGAAGGACATACAATTGTTCAATGAAATTCTACTTTAATTAAACAAGATACAGATTTGGAAGCATTATTCCTCAAAACTCCTCAGAACAAGCCTAAAAGACAGATTTTCTCACACCTATCTTTCCTTATCAAACAGGCCTTTGCCACTTTGACCTTGTTCTAAGAGTACACCATTTTTAATGGCACAAATAA